AGGTCAGGAGTTTGAGACCAGCCTTAACATGGAGAAACCCCATCTCTACTAAAAATACAAAATGAGCCGGGCGTGGTGGCCGGTGCCTGTAATCCCAGCTGCTCCCAGGAGGCTGAGGCAGGAGAATTGCTTGGACCTGGGAGACAGAGGTTGCGGTGAACCGAGATTGCACCATTGCACTCCAGCCTGGGCAACAAGAGCGAAACTCTGTCTAAAAAAAAAAACAAGTAATTGTGCTACAACATGGTGACGTCATAATTAAGGTGATGGCAATTTTTCAGCTCCATTTTAATGTTATGGGACCAACATCATCTCTGTGGTCCGGTGTTGGGTGAAACATTGTTATGAAGCGTGACTGTATTCACATACTCTGGACGCCAGGCACGTGGCTCACACCTGTAATCTCAGCGCTTTGGGAAGCCTAGGTGGGAGGACTGCTTGAGGTCAGGAGTTCAAGACCAGCCTGGGCAACATGGTGAGACACCCCACCGTCTCTGTAAAAAAAATAATTAGCCAGGCATGGTGGTACATGCCTGCAGTCCCAGCTACTCACGAGGCAGAGGTAGGAGGACTGCTTGAGCACAGGAGGTTGAAGCAGTGAGCTAGGATCGCTCTACTGCACTCCAGCCTGGGTGACAGAGGGAGACCCTGTCTCAAAAAAACAAAGCAAAACGAACATTTTCTGTGGATGTGGTTTTTCTCTTTCACAACCAGTCCTCCCTGGGCAAGTCCCTCCATCTCTGGCCTGAGCAGGCCTCTGTAGGGACTGTGGGCGGGGTCCCTGCTGTACTCCCTGCCTCGGGTTTGTTCTCGCAGGGGTGGAGAAATCTTTTTCTATCTACCCTTTCTAGTTCCCAGCTGGGATGGACCCTGCAGCTACAGGCAGATTCATAGGACAAATACGGAGGCTCATCAACATGTGTTTCATGTCTGCTTGGGAGTGGCCAAGGAATGAGGGATTCTCAAAGAGCTGGCTGTGAATTCAGGCCCATGTGGCGTCCTCAACAAACAGTGAAGTTTTAGGGACATCACATGACAGGACATGGACTGCGAGTCTCCGGGAGGCATCTTGGAGGAGGCAGGGAGGTGGCAGAGGACGGCTGGGCCTGAAGCTGCCTTTACCTTTGTCAGTTCTGGTGGAGGGACGGTCTTTGCCCTTGTCATTCCTGTGCTGCTCTTAGGCAGGACCTGAGTCGGGGGAGCTTTTCTTGGGTCTGCTGCTTCTCGGTTGCCTTTGTGGGAAAACAGCCCTCACCCCAGCATGGCACAGTTGGGGGTGGTGCGTCCCGGTTTACCTCTGGGGCTCCTCCTCAGTGTGCAGCTCTGCGTTAAAAGCCACTGGTCTCGTCTGGGCAGCCCTCGAGCTGGTGTCTGGCTCCCTCTCCTGCTGGCCCGGAGGTGGGGCGGGATCCTCACTTGGCTCTGACCTTGGCTCTCCCCGGCCTCTTTGAGCCGTCGCCTTCTTGACCTCTGAGGTCAGAAGAGGAGGTTGTGTGTGGGGTGGGCCAGGACCAGGGTGTGCTTGGAGAGCCACCACCCTGGGGGCTCAGTGTGGGGTGAGTGGACCAGAGAGGAGGCGGCTGGGAGCCAGGGCTTAGTCTGCAGCGGGCACTGGCTGGGCAGCTCCAGGGGAGATGTCCGTGGGGTGGGGGCGTCCAGATAGAGCTGCCCTGGGCGCCACTGCGGACCCCTCCGTCTGACCGGGTGCTGGGGGTACAGACTGGGAGACTGTCTGGGCTCTTCCAGATCAGGAGGGAGGCAGTGGCAGGCAGGCCATGCAGTTGCTTATGTGGTCACTCTCCGCCTGGGGAGATGGGAGCCCTGGGCAGAGGGAGTAGGAAGAGGGGGGAGAACTTGGGGAAAGAAGCAGGGAGAAGCCAAGGTAGCAGCAGCCCCAGAGGAGGGGTCAGCACGTCCGGGGCGGGTGACATGAGGGTGAGGCTCAGCCGGGGGTCTGAGGGTTGCTAGGGAGGGGATCTTGGGAGGGGCTGTTGGGGGAGGAGTGGAGTTTTGGGGGCTGCCCCGCCCAGCCTGATCTGTGTACCTTTGTCCCTCCAGGAGATGGTAACCTGCACCTCAACGTGACGGCAGAGGCCTTCAGCCCGTCGCTCCTGGGCGCCCTGGAGCCCCACGTGTACGAGTGGACGGCCAGGCAGCAGGGCAGTGTCAGCGCAGAGCATGGCGTGGGCTTCAGGAAGAGAGATGTGCTGGGCTACAGCAAGCCACCCGAGGCCCTGCAGCTTATGCAGCAGCTCAAGGCCCTGCTGGACCCCAAAGGCATCCTCAACCCCTACAAGACGCTGCCCAGCCAGGCCTGACGGCCGCTCCCACTGCTGCCAAGGCCCGCTGGGGGTCAGCGGATGGCTCTCGGGCGGGAGCGTTGGCAGTGGCTCTGAGTGATGAGCCGGCAGTGGGCGGGGGACCAGGCACCTAGTCGGAGGGACTGGGAGCCCGCACTGGGGAACTGCTGGATGCAGGCCCTCGGGCAGGAGCATCTGGCAGAGCGGGGAATGCGGCAGGCTCCCTCCTTTGCAGGGCGAGGTGGGGCCTCTGCGGCCATCCTGGACGGGCCAGGGTGGAAGCGGGGCTGGGTCTCACTTGCCTGGTGGTGGTCCCTGGCTCCACCTTGCCTGCTGCAGCCTGGGGAGCTGGCACTGGGTGGTTCTTCCGCCTATTTGCTGCTGGTTCCCCGGGCAGTGTGTGGGCAGCGGGGCTGGGTCTCACTTGCCTGGTGGTGGTCCCTGGCTCCACCTTGCCTGCTGCAGCCTGGGGAGCTGGCACTGGGTGGTTCTTCCGCCTATTTGCTGCTGGTTCCCCGGGCAGTGTGTGGGCAGCGGGGGGCTGTGGGCAGGACCACGCGGGCCATGATTGTGGGTTGCCGAGATGACCGGAGCGCTATGGCTCTGCTGAATGGAGCCAGGTCCCTCAGGCCGTGGACGCCCTCGGGAGGGGTGACTGTGGCTTGTGTCTGGGCCTGAGTGACAGGAACGTGTCATTTCCCCCGTCTTCTAGAGGCTGTCAGCTGGGAAGACAGTTATCAGGGTGAGCTGTGCTCTGAGTCTCAGGTTCTGCTTCTGTGAAGAACGTGGTGCTGTGGGCGAGGGCCCCGGCGCGGACAGGAGCCACTGCAGAGTGCGTTTCTGCTCGTCAGCCGCCCCGGGTAGCGGATGGGCTGGGCGATGCAGCTGGACGCGTATCTCTTTCTGTCATGAACGTCCAGTAAAAAATCTGAATTGGTTACAACCTTCTCTTTGCTTCTGTTACTGGAAATCATCTTGCAAAGCCCGTCATGAAGGGCCTGTGCATCCCGTTTGCAACCCCCGGACCCCTGGGCCATGGTGTGGCCGGGCCTGACGCTACTGTGACTGTCACTGTACCCCCTGTCCCCATGCACTGTCCTGGTGGCAGCTGAGCTCCCACCGGCTTCACAGGGCAGGCCTGGGCATGGAATGGGCACCTTGTAACCCTTGGTGGTCCTGGAGGCCCTCGGTGGCTGTACCTGACCAAGGTGGATCCGTGGGCCCCTCCTGTCTCTGTGGGCGTCTAGGATCTCGGATCCTGCTCAGAGGGGGAAAAGTACCTCTGACTCACCGCCCTGCAGAGCCCGCCTGCCCAGCTGGGGCCTCTGTGGACCAGCCACATCCTCCTGGTGGAGGTTCTCGGGGGTGGGGTGGGGGCCTTCGTCCAGCATTATTTTTTTTTTTTTTGAGACAGGATCTCACTGTCACCCAGGCTGGAGTGCAGGGGTACAGTCAGCTCAGTGCAGCCTCAACCTCCTGGGCTCAAGTGATCCTCCCACCTCAGCCTCGTGAGTAGCTGGGAGTACAGGTGTGAGCCGTCATGCCCAGATAATTTTTTTTTTTTTTGAGACAGAGTCTCACTCTGTCACCCAGGCTAGAGTGTGATCTCGGCTCACTGCAAGCTCCACATCCCGGGTTCACGCCATTCTTCTGCCTCAGCCTCACAAGTAGCTGGGACTACAGGCACCTGCCACCACGCCCGGCAAATTTTTTGTATTTTTAGTAAAGATGGGGTTTCACCATGTTAGCCAGATGGTCTCGATCTCCTGACCTCATGATCCGCCTGCCTTGGCCTCCCAAAGTGCTGGGATTCCAGGCGTGAGCCACCACGCCTGGCCATGCCCAGATAATTTTTAAATTTTTTTTGTAGAGATGAGGTCTCCCTGTGTTGCCCAGGCTGGTCTTGAACTCCTGGCCTCTAGCAGCCTCCCACCTCAGCCTCCCAAAGTGTTGGAATTACAGGCCTGAGCCTCTGTGTCCAGCCGATCCAGCATGCTTTTAAGGCACAAATGAGGGGCACTTTCATGCCCCTCACGCTGGCCCAGCAGAACCAGTGGGTTCCAATGCCTGAGCTACTCCCTGCTGTGCCTGGGGGCACCTGGGGCTGTCCTGCCTCTCTGGCCAAGGCCCGGCTCTGTCCCTGAGCTATGGCCACTCTTCTGCCATCCCAGGCTGGGTTACCCATGGGCAGCCCTACGGTATCTGTTGCACAGAGCAGAACTTAGGCTGCGTGGGTGCCTGACACAAAGCCCCACAGCGTGTGCCCGTGTGCCCCGAGGTCAGCCAGTAACTCCTGCTCTTCCCTCTGACCTCTGGTTGGGGGCTGTGGCCGTTTTTCCGCTTGTTCCTCCAGCTCTGCTACCGGGCACATGGTCCCTGCTGGGTAGGCTGCAGGCCAGGGTGACTTGCTGACCTTCTGACCCTGGCTGTGCACCTGCCGTCCTGTCCTGGGTGGCTGCTCCTGGCCCAGGGGTGGCTTGGGGGCTTTCAAGTTTCTGCCCATGCTGGCCACACAACCCCACATCCCACCCCTGGGTAGGGACCTGTGATTCTCAGACCTGGGATCCATCGCCCTCCTAAGGGCCCCCTCTGCCCTGGCCATGGTCTAAATGCTCACTCCTGTTGTTGGAGAGGCCAGCCGGGTGACAGGGAAAAGCCCAGAGCCCCAGGCTTCCTGTGAGGATCTGGGCTCAGCACGGGCTATGGTACAGAGGCCTGGCCTCGCCTGCTAAGGGACACCGGCTGGCAGTGCCTGCAGAGGGCGGAGGAGGAATTCCTCCCTCTAGTGCCCTCTGGACCCTGGGAGAGCAGGACCTCTGTGTCCACACTGCCTGCCGCTGGGCCTCTGGGGACTGGGGAAGCAGACAGTCCCAGGACTGTTGTGGGAGGAAGAGGCTGTGGCTGCTCTTTCCCGGGGATCTAGCTCCAGGAGGCTCCGGTGACCATTGGGCTGGAGCAGACCAGTGCCGGGCACGTCCTGCCAGTGCCAGCCCCGCCGCCAGCCATGGGCACTTGTTCCTGGAGCTCCGTGGCTGGGTCCCACCATCTCCACTGCTGCCTTGCCCTGCCATGTTCACCTCCAGTTTATCCAGCAATGGGGAGGGGCTTCTTAGAACCCTCTCAGGCTTTCCTTTTGTGCCTTTAGATGACGTGAAATACAGCACAGCCAGGCAAAGCAGGTGCCAGAGACACCTGGCTGGCCCGAGGAACGGCCTGTCTGCCGTGAGGAAAACCCACACCGCGTGGTGGCCGGGAGGCCAGGAGTGTTCGCATGCCGGAAACCTGTTGTGTTTCTCTACCTGACAGGAAAATCTGGTAAGACCCGGTCACATCCAGGCGGACTGTGTGCCTCGCAACCCGCAGGTTAACAGACTCCGAGTGACTGATGCGGGAGAGCTCGGTGAATCTGCATGAGGCCGCCGGCCTTGGTGCCCCGAGACAGCTCCCCCAGCGGCCACGTGACGGTGATGCGTGTCTGTGGTCAGGTGTGTGCAGAGTTCTGCACCGCCCAGCCTCCCAGCCGGAGGCTCTGACAAGACCTGCGTCCACACGGAAGGAGCAGTGGAGAGCCCAAGTGTGTGGGGAGGAAGGCGGGTTCTGACCCCGTTCCTTCTGCAGCGGCTCCGGCCAGGCAGGTTCTGACGGAATTCTGCAGCGGCTCCGGCCAGGGTTGTTGGGACGGGGGAGGTGCTGAGGGGGGCCTTTGTGTTTGGATTAGAAGCTGGCGATCGTCACATTAAGACCTCTAAGCTGCTGCAACGTGAGAAGATGTTACACAACCAGGGCCCCTGGGCTGAGGCTGAGCAAGGGGCCAGGGGAGTGGCGCGAGGGGCCCCAGGCAGGGCCAGAGCTGCCTGTGTACAGCAGGGGAGAGGGGAGAAGCTGCGGGCCTGGTGGTCTCAGCCCCAGGGAGAGTGCAGTGTGGGGGAGGACACTGCCCGTCCCTTCACTCCCGCAGGACGGCTGGCCCCTGGGAGAGCCCCTGGGGGAGCCAGTTTCCTATAAGCAGAAGGGCAAGTGGTTGGGATCCAGGGGTGTCTGACGGTTGTGGACTCAGGCCCCAGAGGAAGGGTTTGGGATTTGGGGCTCCTGTGACCCCGCAGGTCCCTGAAGACGTCCATCAGGACCCTGGCTGTGTGGAGGTGTAGGGTCCAGCCCTACAGGGCTTAGCAGGTGTTTTCCCTGTGTGTGGAGATGAGAGATTGTGATAAATAAAGACACAAGATAAAGAGAGAAAGAGAAAGCAGCTGGGCCCTGGGGACCACGACCATCAAGACGCGGAGACCGGTAGTGGCCCCGAACGGCTGGGCTCACTGATACTTACTGCATCCAAGACAAGGGGGCAGGGTAAGGAGGGTGAATCTTCTAAGTGATTGACAAGGTGAAGTCAGTCATGTGATTACAGGATGGGGGCCCTTCCCTTTTTGGTAGCTGAAGCAGAGAGAGAAGGCAGCATACGTCAGCGATTTCTTCTCTGCACTTATAAGAAAGATTAAAGACTTTAAGACTTTCACTATTTCTTTTACCGCTATCTACTACGAACTTCAAAGAGGAAGCAGGAGTACGGGAGGAGCATGAAATGCAACGAAGAGTAATATTAAAAGTTAATAATTAATGTTTATAATAATGATTGATAATTATCCATGATCATCTCTATATCTAATTTGTATTATGACTATTCTTATTCTAGCTATTTTCTTTATTATACTGAAACAGTTTGTGCCTTCAGTCTCTTGCCTCAGCACCTAGGTGCTCTCACCCACATGGAGGCAGAGGTGACAGGCGTGCAGGGCGGCGTGCAGGGCAGCGTGCCTGGACCCAGATGGCAGGCACGTCACTGACCAGTGACCGGGGCTCTGCCCACCTGGCCCGGCGCGTTGACCCCCTCGCTATGCGGCTTCGCGCTGGCTGCTTTCCTGAGTCATCAGGGTTTAGGCCCTGTTCTGCTGCCTCTGAGCGCCTGTGACCTGCCAAGGCCCCTATCCTCGGCCTGGGTCCCTTGCGGTGTCGCTGACTGTCTGGGACCCTGAGGCTGCCCGTGTGGTAGGTGTGTCCCCCCCTACACCCACCCAAGCAACGCAGAGGAATGAAAAATAATGCCTCAAGGAGCTGGTCCAGGGCCGGGAGCAGTGGCTTACACCTGGAATCCCAGCACTTTGAGAGGCCGAGGTGGGAGGATTGCTTGAGCCCAGGAGTTTGAGAACAGCTTGGGCACACATGGTGAGACTGTCTCCACAAAAAATTAAAAATAGCCAGGTGTGGTGGCACGCACCTAGAGTTGCAGCTACAGAAGGCTCTTACAGGGGAGGCGGGACAAGCCTGAGCTCAGGAGGTCGAGGCTACGGGGAACCCCAGGTGATTGTACCACTGCACTCCAGCCTCGGTGACAGAGCGACACCATCTCTCAGGAAAA